GTGTAGCAGGTACAGGTTGCAAACAAAGCGAGAGCATAAAAAGGATTAATACCCTACGTGAGTTGCAATGTACAACGGAAAGCATAGCAAGAAACAAATTATCTGGAGTAAATGCTGTCTGTGTCTGGAGCATTTGTTCAGCCTCCTGAGTTGTCCTCTTCAGCATCCCCCAGGTAACATCTGGGGCTTGTGTCATCCACGGAAGCCGCATCTTCTGGGTCTGTGGGTCTTGTAGGGTTAACTCTTTCATTTCTGGTACCGGGTTGGGTCCTAGCCATGCCATGGTATGGTTTGATGTGTCATGCTGGAATCCAAAGAGGACCTGAGGGGGTGTGAACACAAGCATACTGTCTTCCCCATGTTAATAATTCATTTGGACCACATTACTATTTACATCTTTCCATCAAACTTCAGGTTTTATGCCTTGAGAGGTTTTAGCAACGTGCTTTTCTACAGCTGATTGAAATTTGTCATCTAAATTTAAAAAGTTAAGGGTAAACAAGGCTTGTGCCAATAGTGTTGCAGGGTCTTTTACCCATACTCCTTCTTTCCTGTTTTTTTGAGCATACTTTTAAGAGTGGGCACGTTCTATTGCTTATCCTTGGGGGTTATATGGGATCCCTGTGGAATGTTGGATATTCCACATGTGACAAAATTGTTGAAATTGTGAACTGGCATAAGCTGGACCATTATCCATTTTAATTTTTGTGGGCCATCCCATAAATGCAAAACTTAAAACATGATGTTTAATGACATACCGAATAGGCTCTCCAGGAAGGGCATGTACACTAATTAGATGGGTGTTAGTATCAACAGATGCATGTACGTATCTAAGTTTTCCAAAGTCAGGGACGTGTGTAACATCTGTTTGTCATAACTGGTTAGGTTCTAGTCCTCTAGGGTTAATACCTGCGGAAGGAGGGGATGTGCCTGTGAGCTGGCAATCTGGGCATTGTAGGATAATTTGTTTAGCCAGCCTTTGTATATGTTGAAATTCTTTAGATAAGTTTCCGTAATTTTGGTGGAAAAATTGATGCGATTGGGTGGCTTGCTCAAGCAGTGATGTTATAACCTGAAGGTCTGCTTGTTCATTGCCATAAGCCAATGAGCCAGGCAGAGAGCTGTGGGCTCGAATGTGTGTAATAAAAAGAGGGTGTGTATGCTGATCCAGCAATTGCTGAAGTCAGAGAAAAAGAGCACACAGGGCTGGCTCCAGAGTGGACTTAATTAAAGCTGTTTCAAGATTTTGTAGCAAATATACTGAGTAAGCCGAGTCACTTAAAATATTTATGGGCTGAGTGGAAAAAGTTTCCAAGGCCGTGGAAGTATCAGAGCCCCAATGTCAGCTCTCTGATTGCTAGTAAACCCAGATCGAGTGATTGAATTGTGTAGTCCCCACAAGGCTGCCGCTTTTCCATGTTTACCAAACCCATCAGTGAACACTGTTAGAGCATTAGGTATGGGGGAGTGAACTATTTTTGTGGGTAATATTACCTGCGTATGAGATAAGAAATGAAGTTGTTTATCAGCAGGAAGCATGTGTTCTATTTGTCCTATATAATCAGAGAAAACTATTTGCAGATCTGTCGATAAGGACAATACTGATTCGCACTGCTTTTTGCTTAAAGGAATGCTGATGACATCAGGGTCATAACCTAGCAACTGATTGCATAATTTACAGCCTGAATTGATGAATATACGGAGATAGTGTTTTAGTCCTGGTATGTGAGCAAAAAACCCATTCTAGAAAGCATAGCCCTGGGGTTATCTGTCCTATTAACCCTGTAGGGGGGTGTTTGGTGGGAAAAATAAACAACTGAATTGAATACCATGGATCAATGCAATCTAGCTGCCTCTGAGAGATGGCGTGCTCTATTTTCTCAGTTTCCCTTTTTTCTGCAGGGGTTAACTATCTGGGAGAATCCAGGGCCGGATTGCCCTTTAAGATAGAAAACAGATTTTGTAGTTAATCAGTAGGAATCCTCAAAGTGGGGTGGAGCTAGGTAATATCACCCAATAATTTCTGATAATCATTTAAGGCGTATAAGTTGCTAGTATTTAATTTAACCTTTTGAGGTCTTACTGACCAGGAAGTTAGTATGTACCCAAGATATTTCCAAGGAGAGGACATTTGTACTTTCTTAGGTGCAATGATTTAACCTCTTAGCTCTGAATTCTTTATGACAGAGGAATATAAATTTAAAAGTATTGGCTCTGTTCGGGCTGCTAGTAGAATATCATGAATATCATCCATAAAATGAATAATCTTGCAATCAGGAAATTCTTTTCTACTAGGGAGCAAAGCTTGATTTACATGATACTGACACATGGTAGGACTGTTTAGCATTCCTGGAGGAAGCACTTTCCAATGAAATTGACAAGCTGGCTTTTCATTATTGATAGCTGGTATTGTAAACGCAAATTTTTATCTGTCCTGTTCTGCTAGAGGAATTGATAAAAATCTTTTAAGTCAATAATGATTATAGGTCAATCTTGAGGAATCGCCATGGGGGATGAGTGGCCCTGTTGAAGGGGTCCCATAGGCTGTAAATTAGCATTAATGGCATGTAAGTAATGCAAAAGTCTTCATTTCCCGGACTTTTTGGGAATGACGAAAATGGGCCAATTCCAAGGGCTGTTAGTAGAATATTATCCATAAAATGAATAACCTTGTAATCAGGAAGTTTTTTGTTTTTTGTTTTTTCTGGAGTAAAGTTTGCTTTAATTGCTCCTTAACTAAGGGCCGTTGGTAACTTCTCTCCTTTTAGAGGTTACTGTTTTACTTAAATTGGATTTGGAGAGAGTCACCTTAGGGGTAAAAGAGAGGTAACAGTGGGCATTATCAGAAGAGGTTTTTCAAATTCTGAAATTTTACTTAAATCTTAGCATAGAATTATAATTTGGGATGTCTCTCGTCTACAAGGAGCACATGAAATTTTACCATGGGCCGCCTGCAGAGCTGGAGAGCTGATCAGGCGGGTCCTGGGGTGGCGGCTGCCTTGCGCTTGCAAAGGCACTGCTTTTTCTTGGGCCGCTTTTCGCGTGTGACACTTCCTACCCTTGCTGCCAGGTGGCTATTGCCCACTGGGCCGACTTTCCCGCGTGCGCTTCCTGGCCTCTCCCTAACAGGCTAACTTCGGAGTGCTAGGCCTGGCTCTTTGTTGTCGCTGCCTCCGTGTGGACAGAGTTCCCAGGAGCACTTGCTGGCTCTGGTTTCGCGAACTTCCTTGCTGCTGAGCCTCTCCTTCTGCTTACTGCTCGCTTGACCGCCTGGCTTTAGCCTCTAATGCTTTTTTTTTTTTTTTTAAACAACTCTTTAGGTACCTGATTGCCTTGCTGATTTTGCATTTCTGGGCAGGCTAAGAGCTCCCCTTTTAATGCTGCCTGCTTAAGACAGGGTTTCACAGCTTTTTTCTTTTTCTTTTTCTTATCTATTGGAGGAGGTGGCTCAGGCACAACCTCTGTTTCCTCTTTGTTATTTTGGCCTGGTGATATCAGGGCTGAGGGGAGAGGAGGCGATAAGATGGTTCTTCCTCCTTCCCCTTTTTAGGCTCTTCCGTGTATAACAGAACCAGGGCTGCTCTAATTAAACCCCATAGCGTTAAAAGCTGTTCCTGGGACGCTTTGCCTTTGTGCATAACGTTGTTTAAGATTTCTCCCCACTTCTTGCCAGACGTCTACATTTAGCAGTCCTTCTGGGAACCATGGATTAAGTGAGACAACAGTTTGCATTAGGTCTCTTAATTGAGCCTACAAAACTGATGCTCCCCTAGCCTTAAGTAACTGTTTCAACACTTTTATACACTGTCTCTGTTGAACTGATAACTGTTGTCCCATGATGAAATCTCAGCCTGAACAATCCCCCACCAAACTTGGTAATCCCAAGCGGGCACCAATGACTGACTGTTTTACTGACTTGACCACGCCGTCCTCTCCACCTTCATTTCTGGGAGTCCGTCGCGCTCCCTTCGCAGCAATCCCCACACGGGGCATCAGACCCAACAACGGATGAATAAAGTACACTGACACACAGATATTCTGCTTTGCCAGTCCAGCTGAGCATACAGGCTGCTTACAGATTCCAAGCAGAGTGCTGTAAACAGTTGCAACTGCATCCTTGATCAATCAGTCAGCCAGACTTACATTTATTCAGTAAATTGACAAAGGTCATGAGTAAACACCACTGAAGGGTAATTGACATTGTGGACCTCCTGAGTAGAAAGGAGTTAAGCACCCATGATAAATCAAAGGTTAGTCTTAGGACTGCATGAATAAACAAGGTAGTTAGATAAACTCCCCACATTCCTTTGTTTCTACTTTAATTTACTTAAGGGGGACAAGGCTGCCTTCAGCCAAGTTTATTACTGGAGCTTATGCATCTCTCCCAGGCCTTCCAAGAAGGTTTGCCATCTCTCTTCCAAGAGAGCTTATGCATCTTTCCCCACTATCCTGATTGAATCCCCACAGGCATGCATTAAACTCTTTCTCTATTGTAATCCCCTGTCTTGATAAATTGGGCTCTATCTGGGCAGTAGGCAAGAACCCATTGGTTGGTTACAAAGCTTATAAATTTGGAAAGGAGAGCTTTATTTTTCATAAAAGCTTGCAGCTGGCAGGGTGACCATTCTGACACTGGGAAGGATAGCCTCTGGCCAGGAGCTAGAAACAGATACTTTGAGGGAGGGGCAAAGGGAACAGTAGTCTATGCTGAACAGAGTGGCCAGCAATAAGAATCATGAATATTTACAAAAGGAGAAATGTACACATATGCAATGGAGCTTCATGCCCCTTCATGAGTCACATGTAGACTAGCCAGAGCTACTTCAGTGGTCTCTTATCAAGAAGGAATGCTGGTCAGTTGTGTCAAAACCACAAAAGGGAGATGCAGCATCCCTTAAACTCAGAGCGTTTTCGAAATTACTCTGGGGTCCCTATAGGAAAGAGGGGGTCCATTTATTTGGTTGGGGGGCTTAGGATTTCATTTTTATTTTTCAAAATAGGATTGAAGGCAGATACTTGAAGTTGTAATCCAAGGTCAGGAAAACGGAATCAAGAGGTCACAAGCCTTCTCTGATGATGGCTCAGAAAGCTGGAAGACACTCAACATTGAATCGTGGGGCTCCATGCCATGCTTGCTAGGAGAAACAGCCACCATGAGTCCATCTTTCAGATCTCAAGTGAACAGGTATGCAAGTCATAGAATTAAATTTATTTCAGCCGGGTGCAGTGGCTCACTGTTGTAATCCCAGCACTTTGGGAGGCTATGGCAGGCAGATCACTTGAGGTCAGGACTTTGAGACCAGCTTGGCCAACATGCTGAAACTCCCATCTCTACTAAAAATACAAAGATGGCCGTGTGGGGTGGTGGGTGCCTGTAATTGCAGCTACTTGCCACTTGGGAGGCTGAGGTGAGAGAATCACTAGAACTCAGGAGGCGGAGGTTGCAGTGAGCCAAGGTTGCACCACTACACTCCAGCCTGGGCTACTAAGTGAGACCCTGTCTCTAAATAAATTAATTCATATGTACAACCCTAGCTGCAAGGGAGTCTGGGAAGGTATTTTTAGCCCCTCAGCCCTTCCAACTAGAAAAAGTGTGGAATAGAGCAAGCCGTTCCACAGATACGTATCACAGTGGCTTTAGGAGTTTTATTAATTTATGTGTGTTTGTTTTCTGGCATGAGTACTTGGGTTGATCGTGGTGGGCACAGGCAAAGAAACACTGAATAATTGCTGCTTGAGAAAGGAAATGTCAAATTGCAAAAGCTTCTCTTTGAGTCAGCCTGAACCTTTTCAATGTTTTTGTTTTGTTACTGATTTAGAGAAGTCTTTATAACCAGATCAACATGTTACTGCTTCTATGGATCAGCTACTAGAACTGGCACATTGTTTCCCATTCCGTTGTAATGCTATTCACTGTCATGGGATTTTACTTCTCACAGGGCAGGAATCTTAAAAGTATGGCCTATAAGAGTAGCCTACAATAAACGTCAGCTATCCTGTCAAGACAGTGAAAGCTATATATTTACATAAACCAAAGACTTAACTGCACCCCAGTCAGTCTTTATTCACACATTTGAAGCATGTTAGGGATTTGGAAGTTGTGGAGAGGTATATAAGTTGGTGTATATTCCTTGGCAGCCTAGGTTATAATCTTACTTATACCATTTTACAGGTGAAGGAATTAAAGCATCAGGCATTTAAACTTGCCCAGGTCATACAGTAAAAAGTGACACAGTAGGGACTTGAATAAAGACTGACTCTAGAGACCCTTGATACCCAAAGAATAATCCATAGATCAGTAGTATTGTAGCACCTGGAGCTTGTTAGAAATGTAGACGCTCAGGCTCTTTCCCAGACTGTTTAAATCAGAACCTGAATCTTAACAAGATCTTCAGGTGAGTCTTAGGCATGTTAAATTTTGAGAAAGACTGCACTTAACTTCTCTAATTGAGATTTCCTGACCACCAGTGACTTCCTCAGTTACGTAGGAACCCCAGAACTTCAGTTCCATCAGCAATTTGAGGACACCTTGGCATCAGGTAGTCCCCCAGTCTTCCTAGGGAAGAATGCATGTATATATATGTTTTTTGCCTTTACATAGTCTTTCAGTCCATGCATTATTGTGACATGTGGGAGGCAGGAGTTTTCAAATCTGTTCTTCGAGTAACGAATTCTGGTCTTAACACACATGGTGTAACTGAGGTGCAAGATGAGCTCTGTGAGCATTTCCTCTTCTGCACAGCAGTAAAGGTAATAAGCAGTAAAACTGCGGCTTGCCTTCCCACTAAAGGAAACCAAAGAAATCAATGGTGTATAAAGAACTCTGAGAAAAGGTTCACAGAGAGAATCTGTCTTTTCACACTCTTTCATGTTGGGGAGAAAACAACACAAAGAATCAGTACCTAGCAATTTCAAGATGCTTTTTTCATTATCTTAACATGTCGTTTTTCTGACCCCAACCAAAGACAGCATTATGGTCACTGTATTAAGGGCAGAAACAGAATTTAACATAGAAATAAGGTCACTCTTGTCATTCAAAATGATCTATGTTAATAAGGACTTTAAAGAGTTAGTTCACCTTTTTTTTTTTTTTGTAGTTTTAACACCCACTAATAAGACTTAAGTTGGTAGACACTGAAGAATGAGGAGACAAAAGGTTCCTGTGACAATAAAAATAAACTATCTCCCCATCTGTGAAATGAGGAAGTAAAACTAGATTTCCATGCTTCCTTCCCATTTTAACATTTTATAGTTCTATATAATAAACAAGGGTAAATATAAAAGTAACTAACATTTAATAAGCACTTCCAGATGGTCCAGTTTCCTCTTTACAAGAACCTCTGGGCTGGGTGCAGTGGCTCACACCTGTAATCCCAGCACTTTGGGATACCAAACAGGGGTGGATCACCTGAGGTCAGGAGTTCGAGACCAGCCTGGCCAACGTGGCAAAACCCCATCTCTACTAAAAACACAAAAAATTAGCCACGCATAGTGGCAGGCGCCTGTAATCCCAGTTATTCGGGAGGCTGATACAGGAGAATCACTTGAACCCAGAAGGCAGAGGTTACACTGAGCCAAGATCACGCCATTGCACTCCAGTCTGGGCAACAAGAGTAAAACTACATTTCAAAAAAAAAGAACCTCTGAGTACTGTAACCAATCTTATTTCATAGGCCGAGAAACTGGGCACAGAGATATCAGTAACCCACCCAAGGTTATGTTCTAAGAGGTGAAGCTAATTCACACCTGCAGCATGGCTCCAGAGCCATGCCCTTATGCACTGCTCAGCTGCCTCCCTGCCTATAGCAAATGCATCTCTAGCTTCTCAGCTCCTGTTACTGGTGCAGTGGAAGTACCACAAACAGGAATGAGGCATTTCACACAGTGAGCATATTATTTTGATAAATATTCACAACATCCAATAATCTCTAAAGCAGTTCTCAATCCTGGCTGCACTTTACAGGTCAGCTGGGGAGCTTTAAGCAGTGCTAATTCCTAGGTCTCGCACTCAGATTCTCATGTAGTCAGTGTGGCAGATTGTCTGGCCATCAGGATTTTAAGAAATATGTATTTCTTTGGTTGAGAAGGACTCTAAATTTTCTGGGAATGGGGTTGTTCTAGGGGCAAGTTCCACCCACAAAGCGTCAGGTATTGACTTTTTCTTTTTTTTTTTGAGACAGAGTTTTGCTCTTGTTGCCCAGGCTGGAGTGCAGTGGCACAATCTTGGCTCACTGCAACCTCTGCCTCCCAGTTCAAGTGATTCTTCTGCCTCAGCGTCCCAAGTAGCTGGGATTAGAGGCATGTGCCACCACCACACCCGGCTAATTTTTTGTATTTAGTAGAAACGGGTTTCACGATGTCAGTCAGGCTGGTCTTGAACTCCTGACCTCATGTGATCTGCCTGCCTTGGCCTCCCAAAGTGCTAGGATTACAGGCGTGAGCCACCACGCCCGGCCAGGTATTGAATTTATGTGTCAATCATTGATATATTAACTCAAGGTTTTAAATTCTGCTACCTATAAAAAGTGAATTCACTTATGCTTGTCAATACCATCTGTAGTTTTAGATTATAAGCTTCCTATAAAAGGTCAGAGCCAGTGTCTTATGTATATCCCCAGAGCCTAATTTAACATCTGTAAACATCTGTTTACTTCCAACTGGAAAATAATGATTAAATCACATCCCTCTCACAATGACAGAATCTTAACAGAACACTCACTTAAATCCACTTACTGGTTGTTGAACTGAAAACTTAATTGCTGGTTTTTGAGATAACAAAGGTAGCACATTCTGACCCTGTAGTTTCTTGAGATTTTTGGCAAATGTTCTAGAAGGCTGAAGAGTAAGAAATTTATCTGACCTCTCCTAGCGTGGAACTGTTTCCATGACCCCAGCACAGGCAGCCTAACTGGGAGATGGCTACAGGGGAAGAGAAGATTGAGGCACTTACACTTTGCTGACTGCTACAAAAATTGCACTTGACCACTTGATTCCCTCAACTCCGGTGTAATCATCAACCATTACTGGTTAGTTTTGCCCTTTGTGGTGTCTGGTCCACCCTTGCACTGGACCACATCAGTTTCCTTCCTCTGGCTTGTGTTTTACAGTTCATTTACCCTGAGTCAAGAGGATTTGGCTATGAATCCCGTCATGATTTTCCTCCTAGATGAGGTCTGTTGGTAGCACCTCCATAGACCTGGCCTCAGCTCCTAGTGTACAGCTCTCCCACCTTCCAACAGCTGGATGAGATGCCTTTTGGAGCTGGCAAAACCGGTTTAAGGTACAGGAGAGAAAAAGCACTTATTGGCTACTAACTGTAATCAGAAACTACGGGAAGAACAGATGCCCACTAGCATGCAATAACCACTCTTTTGAAATCATTCTGAAGTTAATTTTCTTCACCTCTTTGACCCTCACCTTTTCCTCATTCCAAGTGGTCGGACCCTGTCCTTTGGTCTTGAGGAACTGCCTGTAATCACTTACTTTATGCTACCCAAGTTGATCAAACAACTCTTCCACATTTCTGTTTTCGCAGCCCTGTGGATGTACTTATGTGGAACCCAACCACTGACCATCTCTTTCCCTCCTTGAAAACAAGTCTTTCAATCCCAGTTTGTCTTCCCACATTGTCCTTTTGTGGGATAGTGTACTAGAGACCAGTTTCTCATTAAGATGTTTTCGTTTAGAGTAGAAGGCTTGATCTTATCCTTACTTCCCTGGTTTGGACAATTTTTTTAGAGATAGGTTCTCATTCTGTTGCCCAGGCCAGAGTGCAGTGGCACAATCATAGCTCACTGCAGCCTCAAACTCCTAGGCTCAAGTGATCTTCCCACCACAGCCTCCCAAGTAGCAAGGACTACAGGTGTTCACCACCATACCCGGTTAATTTTTAAATTTCTTGTAGAGATGGGGGTCTTGCCATGTTGTCCAAGCTGGTCTCAACTTGTGGTCTCAAGGAACCTCAGCCTCCCAGAGTGCTGGGATTACAGGCATGAGCCACCACAGCTGGCAGTCTGGACTATCTTTAAAGCATTCCCCATTTATGTCAACACCACATGCTAGAATATTCTCAGCCACCAGGGAAAAGCATAAACCGTAACTATGCATGACACACTGAATTTGCAGCAACTAATTTGCAATCAATAATGAAGTATCAGTGTTTGCAATGATTCCTCTGTGAATCCAAATAGATCCAAGGATAACCCTGTAATAATACAATTGCTGGTAGACGTTCCTGTATTTTTTGAGAGGGAGGGGAAGTGCTGGAATCACAGGCACTGTGACTGGATGGGCCGTGACTTACAGACTGTCATTTATGCCATAGCCCTAGTCAAACCACAGCTACTGATAGGCTCTATGAGGTTATGATGATTACATATTATTGTAGTGATTTAATCTGGGTATATCCAATATGTGAACTGAGGCTAAAAAGGTTCACAGCCACCTGCCCAAATCATTAAGAAGTGCCAATCACGTTTCTTTGGGTGGTAACACTTGTTTGATCTTCAAAGAAACAAGAGGGCCAAAATTTTATGTAATGCCAAGTATAGTAGAAAGCTATTACCTAATATCTTGGACATTTATTCAGGCCAGGGCATGCTATATTGTCTAGGCATTATATATATATACACACACACATATATATTTTCTTGTATTAGGTTGTGATAATCCAGCTAGAGAAGTTTCATAAAACGCAAATCTAAGATCTTTTGCTAAAGAAAATATTTTCTGACTAGTTGATTCTGCCAAACCAGTCCTGGTGATTAATATGACACATGTCACAGCTAGCCTGCTCCCACATCCAAAACGTGTTCTAAGAAGGAAGCAGCTTAGCCATCAGAACTTTAATGCCAGGTTATCATTGCTAAGTAATTCCCTATCCTTACAAGGACAGGCAGTGAAGTGGAAAATTCAATCCAAAGACAACTCCCAATTTGTAGGTTGTTAAATACCTGTAGGTTTCTTTTAATCATAAGGAAAATTAAAGACTTGAGGATCAACTAAACAGTGAAAAGAAAAAACCCTCAGTCCCATTTGCTTTGGCATTAATATCTTTGGCTGATCTGAGATTACATGAGACACCAAAAATAAAAACACTGAACTTTGGTTTGATGAAATAGACAATTCGGGTTGTCATTTATAATTTTAGAGTTTGCTTCACATATACAATGCTTGTTATGAAACAATGAACACTTTTATAAAAAATTTATTTCACACTTTTATACAAATATCCACAGGTAATTTCTAATCATGAAATAATTTTACAATGCTAGTTAGTATAAAAATGTATCAAATGCAAACAGACCAGTGACTTGACTTGAGATGACATTTTTAACAACTATAAATTTGAACACCGTAACATCTTTGTTTCTTTGTTGAACCACCCTCCCAACACCCTTTTTGGGACTTTTTTTTTTTAAATAACACAGGTCTAAAAACTGTCAAAATATCAGCTCCTTAGCAATCTAAACACATTAGGGACACAAGTTCCCCAAGCAAGAAACTGAGACTTTATTTACAGACATTTTTGTAAACAAAATATATTTTGTGAATAAGAATTCCAAAGTATAACCAAAACAATGTCCTTAGTTTCTTAAGGTTTAAGATTTCTGAAAAGAAAAAAGCCCCCCAAAACAGTGGCACTACAACTGTGTTCTGTTCTTTCAAAAGACAGACACTGTTTATACTATATCCAAAACAAATTAGCACCTGTTTGCCGTTGCTCCCCATATAACTTAACATTGTGAAGCATGGTAATTAAAAAAAAAAAATCAGGTTTCATATTGAATGTATAGAGTGATAATTCCACCCCCTGCCATTTTTACAATTAAAAACACAATTCAAAGTTCTGGTTAAATTAGTCCCAAAGTAATTTTGGGATTACAGATAGGGGAGGAAACAAAATAAAAAATGGAATATCGACTCACTGATTAAATGGTTCCAATAACATTTAACAATGTAAAAGCCACGATGCTCTGACTGGAATCACTGTTTTGGTAGCAGATTCAGTAGTCTTATACTGGATCGGTTTGGATCCACCATAGGCATTCACCATTTCTTTCAAGTCCTGAACATACAGTATTTGCAGCAGTACTGCACTAGAGTTCAGTGAATAAACCCTTTTTCTCCAAGAATTCCTGAATGTTACAATATGAAATCCAGAAACATTACGCAGGCTTCTAAACTAAAAAATATCCAATGCCTGAAATAATTAAACATCTTTACAGTTATAATTCTGTTTCTTAAACCTTTTGGGTTGTGGGGTGGAGGTTGTCATGAAGGAGAGGTTATAATTTATAGATAAGTTATTAAAACAACTCTGGTACATTTATAAAGATTTTCTTTTTGTAGTAAATAATTTAGGTCAACGTGATGACCTCCCATACTCTAATGCTGATTAAACCAACCTGAAGGGTAAACTGGAGACTCTTTGGCCTGTTAGTCAATAACAAAATGGTTTGTAAAGAAAAGAAAAAATAAATACCATATACAAATAAGTATAACTAGCATTCAAGTCTGTTGCACCTGTGTGTTTTAGTGAACGGGAGAATGAAACCTGTATGCATTTGACGTGAGCAGGTATTCACACAGCTAGGAAATGGGAAAAGATGGCAGGATGGCAACATCACCTTCTATTGCACATTTAGTTTAAGACAGCACTTTCCATTGAAACACAACTACCCCAATGGCATAGTCTTGTGTGACAGCTAACGTGATGGTTGTCTGCGCAGCAGTCCCGAGGTTAGGACGGCCACTCTGTTAGTGTAGCTGAGGAGGCACCTACACTCACCTGCACTATCGGGAGGATGTCACCCGAGTGCAACTAGGCAGGCCCTTCCCCAACACATGTAAGTCAGCCATGCCAAAAACAAAGGCAACCCAGAAAGTTAAATTAAGGCAGTTAAAGAATAATCCATTTCAACAGTTGTAAATTTGGCTGTGCAAAACAGGAGCCTTAGGCTACGTAACAATATCCACAGTTAAAACTGTAGGTTCGTACTGTGCGTAGTCACTCTGAAATCAGTCCTCAGGGATTGAGCAGGCTTTTAAATCCAAATTGAATTTCTGAGTTGGAAAAAGCAGTTTGGGTACTGTGAAGCTTTTTTTTTTTTTTAGGCCCCCCACTATGAGTAGCTTTCATTTTCGTTCCACTTTGTGATCCACTGTTTTTTTTCAAGGTTATCAATATACTTTTCATCTTTGATCTCTCGCTCTTCTTTCCGGATCCTTACAGCATGGTATCGGGGAACACTGTCATCGTACCTAGAGCGTTTGAAGAATCCACACTGGAGAAGAGGGAAAGAGAAAGAGAAACCAATTAATCTCACAAAGAAGCAAGTGCACTAAATGGGAATGTCTAAGCTTTCTGTTCAGCTATGTCTACCTCTGGACTATGGGGAAAAAGACATGGTTTTCTTTTAAGAAAGAACTAAGAGGTTGAAATGAAAGAACAGCCAGTGGGGATCAACGGAAGAGAACAGCTGTAAAACTGGAAGAAAAGTCCATTTTCATCTTCTCTTTACATTTTATAACAAAATGTAGGCTACCTCTTTACTAACAATTTAAGACTATGAAAACAGTGCTGCCATATTTTAAAATAATCACTATATGTAAAAGATCTAATTATCAGATTAGAATATCATTTTAAGAATAATTTTTAAAAGGCATAAACCAAAGATTATTTCATGCCCCTCTCCCACTAATAAAATGCAAATCATGTCACAAGTATTTTACTAATTATTATTTGAATATGCCAGAGTTCCAGCAGGTCAATTTAATAATTTTTTCTCCTCTGAGGCTCTAGTACACGTATCACTGCTCTCATTAGCTAGGATGTAATTTATGTTGCCTGGATTTGCTATTGTGCTTCTAATTAAGCTATTTCATTAATAAATCACATAGTGACTGTTTCCTACAATAAAAATCATATGCTGCATAGGACTTGAGAAGTGTATCACTACACTGAATTTCAGAGCACTCCCTAATTTTTCTTCTTTAAATTGTTAATGTGTATATGTGTGTATATATATCATTTAATATTCAATCTGATCCAAAGTATATTTTTACTGAATATATCTGAAAAAAATTGAGATTAAATTTTTAATGAAATATATTACTTTTCATGAAATGAAAACATTTAATGAAATATATTTACTTTCAAAAAAGGTGTGTTTGACTAAAATGCAGTTTTGAAGAATGAGGAATAGTTATTAATAGAATGGTTGATTAATGTGTTTATTATGTGACATCAACAATAACAGGACATTTACGCTGAATGATGTTATAAAAATGCCATGGAGCAAGATAAAATTATATGCATAGTTATCACTAAATCAGTAGGCAAAATGGACCAAGATGTTTTGTTCCAGGTCATTTCTACATGGATTTATTTATTATTCTGTGCAAAAAAAAAAAAAAAAAAGCCAAAGTACCTATCTGTTACAAAATATGACTGCTGCCTACCCCATTTAAACAAAGAGGGAAATTAAAGGTGATCTGTTAAGCTGAAATGGCAATGTTGTGATTCACTGTGATAGTGCCATGGAAAGGATTACAGGAGTAATTCTGTCCTATAAAATTTTGTGTAAAATTTTATACACAAGAATTTTACAGTCTTGTGTATAAGAATTAAACAACAGAACATCTCAGATTTATGCCCACATAAATGGTGAAAGGAATCACCAGCAATTCCTATTTCCATAGATTTACAAATAAGAGAAACTTGAATTTAAAATCAATGAGACCCAAGGTTGAATAAAATGTCTGGATACATGAAATATGGTCAAACTCCATCACAATATATTACAATAAAAACTTTTCAGGGCATTTTTTTGTACTAGAATTTGGTAGATAGAAGGTAACTTTGGTAGAGGATCATCTTCTGAAGTTGGCCATAAAGCCCGTCATGCTGATAACCATAGTTTGTTGTAATGGTCTTTGACCTGTAGGAGATACGCAGGAAATGGAAGCTGCATGCTTAGCTAGCAGAAAACGATTCCTGAGCAACAGTAAAAAGCATTCCAAGCCTTCCCCATCACTTTATAGCAAAGAAAACGAAAGGATGACAGTGAGGAAGCCTCAACCAAGAGAAACACATTTCCAACATGCAACAGGTTAATTAGGCAGTCGACACAGCTTCTATCTGTGGGAAATTCCAAAATGAACAAGAAATCTGGAGCAATTTCTTATGCATCTTTGAATTCCCTAGTAGGATGCTACATACCGAATTAATAACACGTGGCAAACTGGGCTACTATGGAGGGCTAAAAGCCTCGTGTGTGTGTGTACAAAGATTGCAATTTTCTTCATTGCTGTGGGTAATGTTTAACAACAACATAAAATAACTCACCTGCAACGAAAAATTCTTTGTGCATTTAAAAAAAAAAAAGGAGCTTTCAAGTGAAATAAAACAAATCCAAGCAAGGCAAGCCAGTGTGAACATTTGGAAACATCTGTTAATGGGACACACACAGCAAGCTGTTGTTCTTAAAGTTAGCTACCACAACCATAGCGGGTCCCACAGCTAGCAATTAAAAAACATTGATCAATTACCAATTACAGAAGTAGATCAATACTATGCATCAGAAGTAAGCCTCTCTTTATCAGATGGCTGAGCATGGATCTCAGCCTTATGATATGTGGCATCATAATGATCTTTCTTATTTCTCTTGAAGAAACCACACTACAAGGAAGCAAGGTATTTAGTCAATTTTACAGTTTTAAGAACTAAACAACAGAACATCTCAGATTTTAATCTGCTACTTGTGGCTTGTTTATAAACAGACCACTTTCAGTCAACCAACAGTGAACAGCCACTGCATTGTTTCATTGTCACATTCAATACACCCTTCACCATACATCTCTGGTCAAATATTTATATGGATGACACTAGCCAGCTCAATGATTTTTTTTTCCCTTTGTGACAGAAATCCTGAGGACAAAAATCATTCTAATAGGGAAAACATGTATACACTGCTGATTGTAGCTTTGGGTAGTTTCTTCCTGCAGGAGAATATGAACTCCAAAAGAGGCAAAAGACTGACTTTGGCAGTTTGAGACAAAGGTTAGAAAATAAATTCTCTAAGTAAAAGCACAAATCCAAATAAAATATAGATATACTGTGGTTATTTTTCTGCCTTTTACAGTAAATTTTATGGAACAAATGCCATTTACTTGAGGCCTTTGGATCTGTGGGGTGAATCACAATACAAATTCGAATACACCATCATGAAAGAATGATTGCTGTCATTTTCCCAAACTCTGAGCACCATATAACCCTTAAATGGTAGGGACCCCATGCTCCTCAAGTTAAGTCACTCTAAATGAGTATAAAAGTATAATTCCACTTTCTACTATAATTTCCTTCATTCAGTGATAGAGAACTTTTCCTATTTTATCTAGTTCATAAGGCCATGGAACTGTCTTTTATAAAATTTAACCTGGTCAAATAAATTCTCCTGAAAAACTGCTTCCTAGTCCAGCAACTCATGAAGGTAAAAGCCTAGATTCACTTTGTACAATATATGGGAGCTGCTGGCTCCATGAGGCTATTCAGATTGAAATTAATTTAAATTACATTTAAAACTATGCCTCAGTTGAACCAGCCATATTCCACGTGCTTAACAGCCACACATGACTAACGGCTACCATATTGGATGCTGCAGCTCCAGAACATTTCCATCAGTACAGAGTTTTGTTGGGCAATAATATGTGCTAGTAAACAGGGTGGGAAGAATGAACCAGGAACCAAGAGGCCTGGTCCTGCCTCCATTGGCAACATTCTTTTTTTTGGAGACGGAGTCTCGCTCTGTTGCCCAGGCTGGAGAGCAATGGCATGATCTCAGCTCACTGCAAGCACCGCCTCCTGGTTTGGGTTCACATCATGCTCCTGCCTCAACCTCCTCAGTAGCTGGGACTACAGGCACCCGCCACCACGCCTGGCTAATTTTTTGTATATTTAGTAAAGATGGGGTATCACCGTGTTAGCCAGGATGGTCTCAAACTCCTGACCTCGTGATCCGCCCGCCATGGCCTCTCAAAGTGCTGGGATTACAGGAGTGAGCCACTGTGCCCAGTTGGCAACATTCTTAATATTCTTGGTCATGAGCATCTTTGTTAGCAAAATGAAGGTGATTAGACCAGCCCAAGGGACCTTTATTTTTTTTTCTGCAAACAAAATCCTGTACAGAATCCTGATATTTAAAATGGATACAATCTGAACTACTGTGGTTGAAGTAGGGATCTCCATCTGTCTAAGTTTAGCTTTGCCCTCTACATGGATATACAAAATCCAATTTAAGGGCCATTGAACTGTAGTTCTGACCCTAAAATCCTATGACTTTAACATACTAAATAATTCAGTTGAATAGAAGTATAAAGTAATAAAAATGCTTCTCATGTGGGGTTGTATAAGTTGTCTGTATTTTAGAGTCCCCTTGATAGCCTGGATACTTCAGAGCTTCAAAAAACAAAAACAAAATAAAAACTCCCAAAATAATGAAGTCATCTAATCTAATCAATTTATTTAACAGACGAGGCAAAACAGAGGCCCCAGGGAGATGGAATGATTTGACCAAGATCATATACAGCTTAGGTTTCTTAACTTTAAATCCACTGCTGTCTCACTCTCATTAAAGGCTGCCAATGCTCTGAAAAAGACCATCCTATGACCTCTTCCAGAAAACACAATATCATCCTCAAATATCAAACCCCAACTTCAGCTTTTAATATCAAAATAATTTTCAAGGCCAGGTGCAATGGCTCACATCTGTAATTACAACAATTTGGAAGGCCAAGGCAGGAGGATTGCTTGAGCCCAGGAGTTGAAGACCAGCCTAGGCAACACAGCAAGGCCTTATCTTTATAAAAAAAATTTTAAAACTTGCTAGATGTGGTGGCATGTAGTCCCAGCTACTCAGGAGGCCGAGGTGGGAGGAATGCTTGAGCCCAGGAGGTCAAGGCTGCAGTGAGCCATGATCATGCCACTGCAATCCAGCCTGGGTGACAAGAGTGAGACCCTGCCTCAAAAAAAATTTTTTTTTTCTTCAAGGCATCTCCTTGAAAAAAAGTTTTATATTGACTGGCTATGTTTGCCAGAGGAACCTACTGCCCGAGGTAAACATTAGAGGTAAAACTGGCTGAAACTCCCTACCAGGAGGAGTTTTGTCATGAGCAGATACCAAGCTTCAATCCCATGTCTAGAAGACATCAGAAAATTATCTCAAATTGGCAAAAGTCAGTCGGAAAAAAAAAGCAAAAACAGATGCTCAATATTTGCAAGACTATTTTGAACCCTTATGTATATTTTTGGATCCAGCGAAAAGAAAAGGATAGTTTGATCCTAGGGGGTTGCTGGTTCATACAGAACCCTCCAGACCAGACATGTTTGAGAATCCAAAATTTTTGTCCTTTAAAAAGAGTAATGCACTGCATACCTAATGCTGCTATAATCAAAATGTTAATATTCCTGCAGTGAAATTAATCATAAAGGATAAAGACTTCGAAGTAGCCTCTCTTTACATCATGTCAGGTTTTATTGCCAAATAAAAGTCATTATACACCTCAAGGTTTCAGAGCTTTTTGGAATTGCAGATAAGGGACTGTAAGCCTCTATCACTCACTGGGAATAATCTAAAATTTTTAAGTTGTAATCTTTGGGCATTAAGAGTTTGTATCCATCTCATATGCAGTTTTTCATAATGTAGATTCTTCACTGGTAGAATCAGGGGAAGATATTACATTTTATTTACAGTCAAAGGGCCAAACTCTAATGAGGAAAATCATATCAAACCTAGACCTTCCTTATGTTTGATACATGCTATAATGACCCCCCTTGAGATAGAGTTACTCATTCATGTCATACTTTTCTACTCCAAATCTAGCTGTAAGCATAACCAACTCCAATGGCTGCTATGAACATTCTTCACAGAAACTGAAATTAGCAGGGATACAGATTCAGATTATTACGACACCCTAACAATTTGGCTTAGATCCAGGCTTCAATCTTAGGTGAAGAAAATGCTAAAGTAATAAAATCTAAATTTGTTATTTGCTAAACATGCTAAATTATGTGTGAGAGACACCAACATTCAAGAAACTCATTATGTACAAATAATAACTTTAAATACAAAATAATCGGTAAATATACAGGTGTTCATGGAAAAATTTTCCTCAAATTTGCTATGTCAAAAGAGTTTCATGATGTTAGAAAAAAGGAAGCAATGAAAAAGAAAACATACTACCAGTGCTGATTCCCATTTGTTCAAACATGAAATAAAGTTTGTTATGAAATTCAAATGCCAGATATGACTTACCTTCCATAGTATAAACACTAACAAAGCAAGCATCAAAATCCCAGCGAGAACAGCCACTAGGATGATCCACCAAGGTACTCCTGAATACTGAGCTACAGTCTTTGAGGGAAACACAGTCACACGAACCTATAGGGCAGAAAAGAAAGCAGCATTACTACACACAGCGGCAAGAGTTCACACCAGGAGTTTATGGTTCTAATTCTGCTTTTGAATTATATTTTGGACAATGCAGCCTGTGAATGGATGAGATGACTTTCTGATGCAAGATCCTTTCTCTTAACAAAATATTGCTTCAAGAGACATTGCTTGAAGATCTTTCCCCAGAATCTTGAAAATGCTGGGTTGTATTCTGACAAAGTGGTTACTTTTTGTTAATTTATCTTTAAAAAACATTATTTTGTTATCAAAACAACTGTATAATGAACCCTTATGTATTCATCATCCTGTTGCAGCAATTATCAATACACAGCCAGTCTGTGTATCTATCTAAAGAAATTCCTCTCAAAAAGATCCCCAATTAAACAGATCTAACAGCCAATCTGTTCCATCTATCTAACCTAGTATCTTCTTGAGAAGAATAATACCTGTGTTTTTTTGTTTTTTTGTTTTTTGAGACAGGGTCTCACTCTCACTCTGTTGCCTAGGTTGGAGTGCAAGTGGTGTGACCATAGGTCACTGCAGCCTCAACCTCCCAGGCTCAAGTGATCCTCCCACCTCAGCCTCCCAAGTAGCTGGGACTACAGGCACATGCCACCATGCACAGCTAATTTTTTTTAAAATGTTTTGTTGAGACAAAACCTCGCTGTTTTGCTCAGGTTGGTCACAAAGTGCTGGCTTCAAGTGATTCCTGCTTTGACCTCCCAAAGTGCGGGGATCATAAGTATAAGCCACCTCACCTGGCCTATACTTTCTTTTAATTAATTTTCAGCAATGGAAAGAAAAGGGCCAGTTTAGGCACAAGTAGCCAACATTTCCTCATTCAAACTTTAAAGATGTTGTGAAATACAAGAGTAGGGATGGGGCTGCATGACTGATGGACACCATTTTACCTTTTTCTTAGGA